ATAAGGAGAATCAAATATAACTGTTTCATATGTTCATGTATAATAAATCAGGTGTTAACGTATATCAGATCATGTCAATATTTCTCTTGTTATACTTAGGCATTCATCCCTGCTTGTTCACTATATTTTAACTCTTTCAATTCCCTTCCTTGACCCTTTTTGCTATTCCTAAATCCTAGCACTCTCTTAATAACTTCTGGTCCCTAAGTCTGCCTGAACCTCTCTCTCTCTCCCTGATTTCAACCCCTAACTATCTCACCCAGCTGTTCCAACTGTCATTCTGACTCCGCCCCTCCTGCTCCATCCCCTGATTGACATGCAGGAATGACGTCATACTTTGGGTTCCATTACAGTGTCAAAAAAGAATTATAATCTTTCCTTTTGGTTAATTCCTCCTCATGGTTAATTCCCTATAATATTGACGCATTGGTGCTACCTTACCCATGAGCATGAAATAGAGAAAAGACCATTACTTTCGGTGCTATCAGGTTCACACAACTTTATAGCTTGATTAAATGCAGACACTTGAGATTTCTAAATCTATTTCATTCAATTAAATTTAGTTTAATATTTTATCCAGTATAAAGATATTTGCTGATTAATAAAAGTAATGAAATTAGGCTTGCAAGCTTTTTTGGTTTTTATTTGATGTTACATTTTCCCTTCCTAAGAACTCAGAGTGAAGTTCTGGTCCCTCTTTCATAAACAGAACCAAATTTGATTGAGCAGGAATTCTGTCATGAGGCTATTAGCCTAAATCCAGCATTGAGGTAATGTACATAACACCATGGAAATGTGATGTTTATTTTATTTATTTGTTATTTCTACTTCTGTATTTCCTCATTAGTGGTATCACTCTCTGTGGGGGTGAGGGAATCTTCCTTTTTTACTCTCTATTGCAGCCCTCGGAGTTTCTCAGGCCTCTGGAGCAGATTTTTGAGAATGTGTCATGGGTTACTGGAGTGAGCGGGAATCTGCCCTTTTCCACATCCACCGGCAGAAAAAAATTCCATCAGTAGAATGATATGGTGGGCTCACACATCCATGTTTGAATTAGTCCATTAAAATGTATGAAGCTGTAATTCTGTAAACCAAAGGTGGGAGGACTGTTGCCCTAAAGATAAGGTAAAGGTAAAGGTTCCCCTTGACAATTTTAGTCCAGTTGTGTCTGACTCTAGGGGGCGGTGCTCATCCCGCTTTTCAAGCCATAGAGCCAGCGCCTGTCTGAAGACAGTTTCTGTTGTCACGTGGCCAGCGTGACTAGGGAACGCCATTTAACCTTCCCACCGAGATGGTACCTATTTATCTACTTGTATTTGCATGCTTTCAAACTGCTAGGTTGGCGAGGAGCTGGGACAAAGAGACGGGAGCTCCCTCCGTTGCGTGGATTCAGTCTTATGACTGCTGGTCTTCTGACCCTGCAGCACAGGCTTCTGTCGTTCAGCCCACAGCGCCACCACGTCCTAAAGCGCCCTAAAGGTACATGCTGTTAAAGAGTTCTGAATTTCTAGTGAAATTTTTTTTGCTATGCAGTAGAAGTACAGAGAGACACAGAGGAGGATAGCTATAAGTTCCCCAGAGCCCACCCCATTTTCATTAACTGGCATTTAAAATCTCAGTAATTCACACTAAGAAAAATATAGAAAAATGGGAAAAATTCTATTTTTACAGTTGCTTGAAATTGCAGGTTTGTTTACGCTGCTTTCTTTCCTGGCAATTATATGAACAGATCAACAGCAAACAAACAACTGACATGAACTTTAAAAAGAGAGAAAAGGAACGCAGAAGAAAAGTGAGCCTGTCTTTGAATTCAAAGGCTGGGAGTAACAATTGTTTAGTGATAGATAGGCAGTCACACCAGCCCAGAAAAATCCCTCTCGGTTGCACAAAGTACAGACAGCATGTGAGGTTGTAAATAAAACTCCAACACATGCAAACGCTCCCCCCCCACACACAACCTGGTTATCTTTGCAGTCCTTAACTTTACCCCAGTTCCCTCTTTTTCTGGCAAAAAATGTGAATTGCAGTTCTTAGAAGCCGCAGCTAGTGTTGACCAATGTTTTAAAGTGCCACCCATTTTAATACTGAATGAAACTGAATTTTAACTACTAGAGGAGTGTTCCAAAGGCAGGCAGGAAATTTGCCCCAGGAGTTGCTAGAGCTGCCCACAGGTACTATACACACTTAGGTGGGAATAAGTCTCACTGAATGTCAAATATAGATTTGCACATGTATTGAACTACACATATATTTCTAGAATTGTCTAGAAAACAAAGACTAGGTAATGGAATATACCTGTGACATCTGAAGATTTGATATAATTTTGAATATTAATTTGTAGCATAAAAAAGCATCAAAGCAATGTTATTTGCATTATAACTAGACAAAGTGAATAGTGAAGTCTTTCTGAGCATTTTTAAAGATGTGCAGTGCTAATTGGAAATGTATAGAGAACATCTCTTTCCATTTTACCTGTCACACTCAGTATGTAGTCTTTTGTGCATTTATCCGTCAAACAAAATAAATACATCTCTCATATTAAATATTCATTAATCTCCAATATATTATGCTAAGAAGATCGCTATTATACAATTGCAATGATTTGCCACAAAGATGGAACTCCTGCTTTTGTTCACTGCAGCTTAAAGTAGCAATACTTTTCATGATCTGAGAAAACTTTCTGTGTGTGTGTGTGTATGTGTGTGTGTGTGTGTGTGTGTGTTTGCACACAACTCTTTGAGAGTCTCTCTGTGTGTGTGTGTGTATGTGTGTTTGCGCACAACTCTTTGAGAAAGAGAACTGATACATTGGTTAGTGCAGAGTATATGTTTTCCATATTTATTGAATTATTTATTTCCTCATTTATTGGTTTTATAATATTTATAGCTCACTTCTTCTGGTGAACACAAGGAAGTGGACATGGCTGTTCTCCTCCCTGATTTATCCTGCTAAGAAGCTTGAGAGGTAGGTCAGGCTGAGAGAGGGAATGGTCTCCAAGGGAGTGCATGAAACTTGATTGCTCTGTGGGACCTTCAATGTGCGTCTCTCATCTCCCATTCCAATACTCTAACTACTATAGTATTACTGATGCAGGGTAAACATGCTGCGGGGAATGGAAGAAAGAATCCTAGTCATGTATTTCCTTCACACATAGATCCATCACCCTGTGATGGGAGCTCCTCCTCCCTTTCTCTGTAACTGCTTTCAATGCATGGAAAGCAACATGGGTACAGGAGAGTTTCTTGCTCTCAACATGAATAAATATCCAGTTTTCTTGATGTAGAGAATCCTTAATCCTTAATCAATACAATGTTGAGTTCAGTGGCTGCTCAAAACAGAATATTCAGGTTACCTTTATTTATAGCAGTGTATCTCTCTCAGGCCCTGGTAACATGAGGGAAACGTTTCTAGATCTTCTGATATTTTCCATACCTCTGTTGTACTGAATCATGGTCATGTGGTTTATATCCCGGGATGAATGTCCCAAGGACTTTTAGTGGTACTGATTTATTTCCTCCTATATGAATCGTTATGGCCAGAGACTCTGGTAACATGCTCTGAATAGAGGTCTTGGAACAGCGTCTAGTGTGGCTGAGAAGGTCAAATTCGAGAGTGACAATCCTTTCCACAGTGAGGACAAATACAATCGGTCTCCTTTCCAGCTCCCTGATTTTGCTGGTTTTGGGACTGCCTCTTTGCCTCGGCATGCTGGATGAGTGTCTCTTCAAAATGGTGCCTCCAGGCTGAATGCTCAGATGTCAAGGTTTCCCATCTGTTGAGGTTGATTTCTAAGGCCTTCAGATCCCACTTGCAGATATCCTTGTATCGCAGCTGTGGTCTCCCTCTGGGATGCTTTCCCTGCACTAATTCCCTATACAGGGTTTATATATATATAGTATATCACAAAAGTAAGTACACCCCCTCACATTTCATAAATATTTTAGTATATCTTTTCATGTAAAAACATTGAAGAAATGATACTTGGCTACAATGTAAAGCAGGGAGTATACAGCTTGTATAACAGGTAAATGTGCTGTCCCCTCAAAATAAGGCAACACACAGCCATTAATGTCTAAACCGCTGGCAACAAAAG